AAGACTCGGTCCGTGGTCACAAAAATGCTAGAGCCATCAGAAGATCTAAAGAACACACACTATTAGCAAGAAAAGGGTACACAAGCCCGAGGAGGCACCTACAATCAATCCCTGGAGCACGTTTGCGTGCTCACAACTGAACAACACGCCCACACTATACAATTCGACTACAGCAGCAGCATCACCCCCCTTGTCCCGCATTTAACCAAAATGAATGGTTGTCGACTACAGCGTACTACTGCTGTCTGAAGTGCTGTCTGTACAATAATAACACCATGGTGCATGGTACACAAGCTCGGGGCATGCAGCTGCTGTCTGAAGTGCTGTCAGAATGAGTCCGTGGACATTCAATGAGAAGAACACCCAACCAAAGCCATCATTTCAATTGGCAATCACCCGAATCTATCCAGATCATCTGTGTTAGGCACAGCAGTGTAAACATCGACACTGACTAGGAATCGTTNGCTGCTGTCTGAAGTGCTGTCAGAATGAGCCAGTGGGCATACAATGAAGAAGAACGCCCAACCAAAGCCATAAGTGCAATTGGCAATCACCCGAATCTATCCAGATCATCTGTGTTAGGCACAGCAGTGTAAACATCGACACTGACTAGGAATCGTTCCACATCGAAGGGTCTTCCACGATGCAGGTACACAATCAAGGCAGCCGGGTTATCCGCGCCATCGCTGCCGCGTCTCTCTACAAAACCAGTGACGTTATCACACACACCCAACACCTAGACTATAGGCTATTCAGAAAAAAACGGAAAATATTTGACAAAACATGTTTGTTTGTCCGTGCACCACGGTTCGATGCCGTCCGCATGCTCCGGTTCCGCTGCTCCGGTGCCGCCGCTCCGGTGCCGCTGTCGCCAGTCCTAGCACGACCAAACTCGACCCGCTTCGCTTCGTACACGCTCTCGTTGCTGTCCTTCCCAGTCGGTTCCTCGCTTTCTCCCTCGTTGCACTTAGGGTTGTTGGTCTGGAAATTTTCGCGCCGAAGGGTCAACCAGCCCAATCAGCTCTTCACCACCTGTCGTCCCCTCCTCCTTTGATGGCAAAACAAGGTTACTGAGACAGTACAGCTCCCTCTAGCGAACCTAGGGCCGTGTACATAGTGCCCGTCCACCTTTCTGATGACGTCTGCCTCCGCGCACAAAGACGAGATGGGCATTGCTGCCTACACCGACGGCCTGGAGGCCCGCGCATCTGCACCTACCTTTGTACCTGACGCACCAGTGCTGCACGCACCTTTCTTTGTACCTGACGCACTAGTGCCGACCCAACTCCACTACGCACGCCTCGCGGCGGGTGCGCCGCAGCAAGAAGGTATCGGTTCCTTGAGGGTGAGTCTAGCCCTGCTCGCTAGAAAGACCCCCAACCCTCGCTACGGGTCATGCCTACGCAAAACCTTCCCGAGGCAGCGAGGGGAAGAGGGATGCTGTGGGAAAGAGTCAATAAGCGGCATTTTTTTTTTTTTTCGATTTTTGATCCTGCATTTTCTTTGACAACCACCCTCTGGTTTCCTTTTATTTTCTTCTCTTGTCTCTTTTTCTCTCTTTTTCTGTGCCAGATGGCCTTGTCTCTGCTTGCGTTGTGAAGTACCAAGATTGAACCAAGGGGGTGTACCTCATTCTCTGCGGCCCGTGATGGTGATTCCTAGTCTCAGTTGTTACCTCGCATAGCACGCAGAGGGAGTGGAGGACTCCGGAATATCTGTCGTTGATTCGATTGACTTGCGGACCCCTCGGGGCCATCATATTTGAGTGTACCTTTTTAGGGTATGTTAGCCTGCGACCACGGGAATCGACCGCGTCGAGTATTGGATCAGTACGGACATACGAAGGTACTGGGTAGAGAGAGATCGGAACAAAGAATTAAAAAAGTATATATATTCCTAAAAATTTATGCAAAAAAGCCGGATTTGGTTCTACAAGACAACAACAACAACCCTCATCGGAACAAAAAAAAACAAATGTTCTAGACCAGACTAATCGGTTGTCCGAAACGTCACCAAACCTGCCGCGAACGCCGTTTTCACATATTTCAGCAGAAAGCTTCCTACCTGACGATTCCCATCTTTCGAGGCAGCCACCCTCTGATCCCCGTAGTAAGCGTAGGTGATGTTGTACCACTAGTCTAGGAGGGTAGTGAAAACCTCGATTTTGGACTCTGCTCCACATCCTCGAGAAAACGACAATAAAAAGTGTTCAGAAAAACTCGAATATGGGCGTGTGTTATTCCGTTTTACCTCCGAACGAGCTTAGTCTATATTTTGGTCCAGAGGAAGTAGACTACAGCAGTAGTGTTCTACAGAGAGTGTATCACTGCTTGGACGTGTTCGACACAACCAAGTAATAAAAATACGAATGTACCCCCGCATCGTTCTCTGTGTGATCAACCTTGACCACCCTCAAACCCACCAAATCACCGCATCCCCATCCTAACGACAGCAGCAGTACCTATCGCGAACATGCAGACGCCTACATATGACAACCATCTAGTCTAGGGTCTCCATGTCCCACGCATCTCATCGTCCGCGTCCACGCCGTCGTCTTCGTCCAGAAGGCCCATATTCGCTCTCTCTCGTCGTTCTGGCCGTGGACAAATCGTTGTACTCAGCTGCGGCGTAGCAGCACACGAAGCCCCCAACTATGCCACCGCAGTGAACTCACTATGCTGTTGTGTGTTTGTGTCTCTCGTGTGTGCTCACTCGGGACACGCTCGTGTGTAAACAGGACACGGGAAACCACCAGGATTCAGGACTCCGGACTTGGGACCCTTGAGCTCGGGTCGCCAACAGACGCCGGACGTGGCGAAGTGACAGTCCCGTGGTTCACCAACCAAGCTTCGCCAAGAGATATTTTCCGTTTTTTTTTTTGTGAGAGCGCGAGCGGAGCAATAAATCCGTTGTACTTTCGTGCTTCTGTAGTTTCACCGAAACACCAGGTTCAATAACTAGGATGATTGAACCGACTCAAATCCAACCCACCTCGAACGCGCGCTTCGCTCACATCTCTCACACAGTCACATCTCACGCACACACGTCCTCGTCCCCTTCCCTGACAAACACCTCGCGACCACTGCTGCTGCAAGACACCTTCTCCTCCAAGACTCCGCGACACCAACTACCCACCACCTGCCTTCGCGAGCTTCCGATCGAGACGAACGAACACCACCACCACACACAGCGACGAGTTCGTACAAACAACCAGAGGTGAGAGCGGTTGTTGTGAAGGACCTTCTCGTAGCCTCTCTCCGTTTGCCGCCGTGGCACAGTAATTGCGGCGACGAGCGTGGCGAACCAGGGGCCGACATCACGGCAGTATACTTATCAATACCGCAATGTACGGTAGCACGGCCTGCCCGCTCCGATTGTTTCAAGCGGGCTAAAGATATGATGGGGGGTGACATCCGACGGCGGTTGTTCGACTCTCCGCTCCGCGGTAGAGAACATCGTGTGTCACATCTATCACCCATTTTCTTGTGGTCGAGGAGAAACAGGCGAGCTGCCGTGCTCTATCTCCCACACAGGACCCGCCCGATCCAGTGTTCGTGGGCGCTCTTAAGATCGAGTATGTGTAATGTACAGAATGATCAGACCACGAGAGCTCGGTGCAATTTACAGCGTCGATCAGGTAGTAGGTGACTCAGTGGTCTGTCTTGAACATTCAACCATTAAACCTCCAATCCGGCTCTTTTTTGTTCTCGAAGAGTCCCAGGCGGAGAAACACAGATACATCTGTGATGTTCCCGACTCATGCTTGGCCCACCACACTGCTATACCGTATAGAGGCGCCGCGCTCCCAGATTTGCCATGAACAAAAGAGTAAAGGGCATAACGCGGCGGCCGTGCTTGTTGTGTGCTCCCTATTTGCTCCTCGTCGTGTAGTCTAGCTAAATACATCACGACATTATTTTCTGTTGTACTTTCGTTTCCGGCCGTGTGGCGATGGTATAGACTTACTTCGTAATATTTAGGTAGTCCGGCCCTGTCTCTCATGTTTTTCCCTCACCTAGTTAGCCGTCGATATGGGATACGGTGAAAAGCGAAAAGATGTCACCGGGTGCGGTCGTTTTCTTATACCACGGTACATACTTCTAGTACATCCGTTTTTTCCTCTTTATGTTTGGACGCCGATGGTGTCATCTCTCCGACACCGGTCGGTGCGGGAATGCAATTCGAAAACACTTAGATTCGCTTTTCCAAGGCACACCGGTGCGATTTCTCCGACCGGTGCGATGCGCAACGAAATACACACAGCGGGCCTGCTGGTGCTCGGCGGGTGTTGTATGCACGCACCATCTTCCCGACCCGTGCCATCTCTCCGTCTCCTCTCAGTACCAGTACTACGGCGTATCTATCTACAAGCAGATGTGCGCGGAGTAGGCACCGTTGTTGCTGGCCGTGAGCACACCGGCAAACGGCAACGTAGGCTGGAACCTACGACGTAGCGTTTTACCACGCAGTGAGTGGTCATGGCTTGAATGCGAGTTCGACAACGGCGTGCCAAGGGCAACAAACGAATGGTTGTGGTTTTATCTGGAGTACACAGTACTGGTACATACGGCAGCCGGTTCTCTCCCGCATCCGTTTCGGTGTTCCTCTACGCGCAGCAGCTCATTTGAAATTAATGTGTTGCTGTGGGTGAAGGGAGCGGCTTGTATGTGGTGTGCGTGGCTAACTGAGTGTACGGTTGGCAACTTCCATACGAAGCAACAACAACAAATGACAATCTGCGTGAACCGCGACCGATTGTACATACATACATGTAGAAGTGGCGCTCCGATGACACCGTCCGCACACTTGCAAAAGGTGATCCCACATGTACCTCGTTTCAGCAGCTCAAGAAGAGCTCAATCTTGGGTTTGGGGGTCGGCAAAATCGCACACGGTGCGATCGGTGCGGAATCGAAATATATCATGCCGTTCTTGATTTTCTCTGCGAACTCTGGTGCCATCTCCACGGTTTGAGCCATCTCTCCGCCTTCTACGGTAGTTCCACCACACCATACCATGCATGCTCAGCTCCGCACTCCTTGAGGAAGAAGTCACACTGCCTACTACTGTAGTGTTGTTGCACCAGCTTTGAATTGTGATCTTCCTCTAGCCCCCTTGTGCTTACATTGTGTCAAGTATTTCCAACGTTTGCACGGCAATTGTTCTGAATATGGACACAATAGTGCGCACGCTCACTTACCCTCCCGTCTGGCGTTCGTCGTTCCGTCATCACAACTGAAAATTGCGTGAACGTTTTACAGCGGGAACAAAATACAGTGTAGACTATGCGATTCTCGACGTCACGTCGCACTATGCCCATCAACCCCAAACAATCTATGCGAGCCGGTATCTCATCATTTTGTTGTCATTCCCCCTGCCCACGATGTCTCCGCCCGCTGCCCCGCCAATATTCAGGCTTCGTCCCAATCACAACGATCAACAACGACAACAACAGAGCCATGACTTCCGTCCACAAGCCCGACCTCTCCGGCCTGCCCGCCTTCAACGTCGCTGGCGGTCGCCCCGACGAGCGCTTCGGTACCAGGGGCTCCTTCACCCGCGGCGTGCACATCATGTCCGGTGGCCATGCTCGCGATGTACCGCTCGAGGCCGAGGTCGACCACGGGAAGGTGCTCTTCGTGTCCGCCATCCACAAGCCGGACCTCTCCGCCGAGGCCCGCACCAACGCCGTCCGACCCATGGAGCGCCTTGGAGCCCGCGGCCGCTTCACGCCGGGGGGGCGTCGCTGGGCCGGTGGCAAGCCTCGCGACGTACCGCTCGAGGCCGAGGTCGACCACGGCAAGGTGCTCTTCGTGTCCGCCGTCCACAAGCCGGATCTCTCCGCCGAGGCCCGCACCAACGCCGTCCGCCCGACGGAGCGCCTCGGCTCCCGGGGCCGCTTCACCGCGGGCGTCCGTCGCTGGGCCGGTGGCGAGCCTCGTGACGTGCCGCTCCCGCGCGTGTGCGACCCGGGTACCGTCCTGTTCGAGTCCGCCTCGGAACGTAGCAGGCCCTCCTTGTCCTTTTCGCGCGAGACCAACGTGTCCGGAGGCAGGCAGGACGAGCGCCACGGGCGGCTGGGATCGTTCGAGCACGGGGTCGTCGAGGCTCGGGGAGGGCCGCTGCAGGTTCAGGCGGCCTTCGCGCGCGATGTGGAGCAGCTGTGGCACGAGGGCGGGCAGAAGGAGAACAAGTACCGCCGCTGCGGGCCCAGCCACTTCGTCGCCGGCGTGTCTATTCTGTCGGGCGGCATGCCGGTCTACTGAGAGTAGAGAATGACTGCTGTTGCTACTGTAAGGAGAGTATGAGGCGCTTGTCATGCTGTCCGCCTCATGCGTGGTTGGTCATTCACCAAAGGTTGCTCATTGTTGGCAGCGTGTTAGNCTATTCTGTCGGGCGGCATGCCGGTCTACTGAGAGTAGAGAATGACTGCTGTAGCTACTGTAAGGAGAGTATGAGGCGCTTGTCATGCTGTCGACCTCATGCGTGGTTGGTCATTCACCAAAGGTTGCTCATTGTTGGCAGCGTGTTAGCGTGTTTGGTCTTCCACCGGCACCAGCGCGAACTTACCGTTGATTTCTTTTTTGAGAGAGGGGGCAATGTTGAGAAGGTTGCTATCCTTTCGGGTCGTTTTACATCGATGGGTGCCTGTGGTGTGCTACATGTTGAGAGCACCACGCAGCGGCGGCGGGGTTGTGGTTCCGTTCGGCTTGCCTCGTACCGCCGGGTAGGTGCAGAGGTGCAGAGTAGATGATTTGTGTATCAATGCATATGCTCGTGCAGCAAATTGGTATTTTCAAAGCACGGCAGCACTGACTGTTCGTCGTCGCTCGGGGTCATACGTTCCAGGACCAAGATGGTCGGCTTGAATAAACGTTGTTCATGACTTGTTCGTGACGAGTGTTGGAGGAGTCGAACAAGTTAAGAAGTTCGTGGTGTTGTAGTTGATAGAATAGTTGATAGAAATAGTACCAGTAGGGGATACGAGAGCACTGTTGTGGATGCAGTGCTTCACATCCATCATCCATACGATGAACAAACTGCTTTGGACTAGTGTGTTGTGTGGGAAGGGATGATTAGAAGTGATGACCTGTGTTGGACATGATGCTATGTGAAGTGGTTGTTGTCTCAAGGGGGGCGAAAGCGGTAGTTGTTCGTCCGTGTACACCCTCCCCGCCCCATCGACCCCCGGCAAGGGATCCAGTACTGAATTGGGGTACAAGAGATTCTCGGCTAGTGTCATTGTCGCCGCTAAGGTTTCGTGTGGTATTCGTCTCGGTGTCTGTTTTTTCAATAATGGATGGGGGTACGGTGGTGGGTGTTGACGTGACGTGCATGGCGTTACTTGAAGGATATTTTTTCATTCCGATCGACATATTAGTCCGAGAACGATGAATATAGAAAGGTGTGTACTAGTAGACTCTACTGCTGCTGTAGTTTAGTTGTGCCTCTTTGCTGTTGTTTTGCGAGGGGGTGCTCTAGCGGGGGGGACGCCATGACGCGCACATGATTAAAGGAGAGCGGGAGATACGTAGAAATATCCAGGAATTGAATGGGTTTGGCGTGAGCGGGTGTTTGGGCGTGCATACGGCGGAGGACGTCGAGTTCAACTTCGCCGGGTAAGTTCTTCTTTGCGAAACGCAAGAATATGAACTTTCTCGCCTTCTTTGAGGCACGCACACAACAAATATTCCAGCGGGAACTTTCTCCTAGTACTTCCAGAGAAAATCGAAGCATCTCAACAGCCTGTATGTTGTGCACACACATGCTAGCACGGTGTTATCAAGCAGCTATTCATCGATCGATGTACTTGGCTCCTGTGTGCCTGCACAAGACCGTGAGTGCGTGGGCACTGCGTGAGTGTCGATTTCAGTTCCAGTCTTCCAAACACACACACCACAGACAGGACAGGTTCTGGCGCGGACCCACCTGAATCTGCAACACATCGGTAACAACAGAGTATTGAGGACATGAAGAAGTGCGGACCTACAGCCCAAAATAGATTAACGGCAATCATCTGCATTTTTGGTGGCAATGTAGCATTTTCAAGCAGAATATTCAAGTAGGTCCACACCACTACACACGCTTTGTTGAAAAAGGTTCAGACACAGCACCACCATCATCGTCCTAGATCGATAGATTGAGGTGTATCCAAGGTCCGCACTACTACTACTTCTATTTTCTAACACTATTCTGTGAAAAATGTGTTTGTTGCAGAAGGGACGGACGGAAGCGTTTGCTTTTTGCAAAGAAAATAAAACGTACAACCAACCACCAGCCGACAACAAATCATGAGTGACTGTTCTCGACGCTATCCATCCGCGGAAGCTCGTCGAACGAGACGCGAGATTCGCTTCAAGAAATGACCAATGTAGTCAGTTCAGAGGAAATTCTCTGGGATTAGGCGAGAAGTCCTAAATAGTTCAGAGAGAACGTTTTTGGCGGTAATGTATAACACTCGATCGAGGCCCGCAGTAGGGAATCCGCAAGGCAATGACTTCGTTTCCTCGTCGTTGCCGCGAAGAGGATGTCTCGTTTGGAATTCTTGCGCGGGCCACGCGAAGGGTCGATAATGACATCTTGAATTGAAGGGGGGTGGATGATCTACATGTATTAAATCTCGTCGATACCGCGACGAGGACAAAAAATCGTTTGGGATCCTTACGTGGGCCGCGCGAAGGCCCGACGATGACATGTTGATTTGACCAGGGGCGGGGGTAGATGTGGTCTAATCTCCCCGCTTGGCTGCGCTGGAGCTGAGCGAGCTGAGCACTCTATTCCAACTGATCTCTCTCTATATATGGTAGAAGATTGACCAAATAATTGCATCTGTTGGCCGTCTACGGTAATATGGCGGTTCCAGCATGCGCATGGAAGGATGAATGAATGAATGTCACCACTCTTGCGGGGTGTAAGACCGAATGTGGTATTGTTATACCTGCCAACTCTCGACATCACAGCACAAAACGATTGTGCGTGCGCGCCGACCACAAGAAATCCCTCAACCCAGACAGGTAGTAGGGTGTTATCGTACAAGGAGGACCCCATGCGAAACAATAGGCCTTTTATATTTGGCTTCCACTTTCTTACTTCCATTCCCGCCAGCTCTATTCCTGGATGTTTTCAACGCATTCGCATCTCCATCTGTCTGCCTCTGACCGTGCGCGCCACGGGGTATCCCCCTTTTTTGAACACCCCCTCCTCGCAAAGCAACAGCAAAGAGGCACGCCTTATTCTACGGCAGTGGAGTCCTCATCTATTCTTTTATTGTTTTCGGAATAAACACTTACAACCCCGCATGCACTTCACGCCAAACCCCACCACCGTACCCCATTCATCACCGCAACAGACACCGACACGACCACACGAACCCTTAGCGGCGACAACACCATTCGCCAAAACGCTGCCTCATTTGGATCCCGTGACGGAGGGGGTCGATGGGGAGGGTGGTACTCATGTTTTGCACGCCCTAGCGGTTAGACTGGGGGGGGAGGGGAGGGGCAAATACACGGATGAACACCGCTTTCGTTCCCCTTGAGACGCTGACGACTTTATATACCAAACAGAGGGCATCACTTCTACAGTAAACATCGCCCTCTCACACCCACAACATATTCCTCCAAGTAGTTCATCGTATGGATGATGGATGTGAAGCACTGCATCCACAACAGTGCCCCTCGTTGTATCCCCTACTGGTACTATTTCTATCAAATATTCTATCAACTACAAC